TCTCTCTCTCACACTCTCTCTCGCTCTCTCTCTCTCTCTCTCTCTCTCTCTCTCTCTCTCTCTCTCTCTCCGTCTCTCTACCTCTCTCTCGCTCTCTCGCGTTCGTACAACCCTGAAAACAATGAAGCCTTAGCCGTGAGGTCTCTGCGCGACCTCGACGGTTGCGATGCCCGGCACGCTGACAGAGGCCCTTGCACAGGAGCTAACGGCTTAGGGATTAGACTGAGTTGCGATGGCTGGGGCTCTATGGAGGTTTGCGCAATTTTGCGCATTTAGGGTTTTCGGGTTTCAGGTTCTGGGGGGGGTTCAGGGCGTTCAGGGTTAAGGAAATTGGGTTTCATTAAGGCTTTGGGGTTTATTGAGGGCTTCCGGCTTTCAAGCTTAGGGTTCAAAAATTTAGGGTCTGGGGGTTCGGATGAGGGTTGACAGGTCGATCGTTTAGTGTTTAGTAGTTTGGCAGACGTGGCAGAGCCTGCCCCCAGGCCCGAAGACTGTGGGACGAGTCTTGTTTTCTGACCAGCCGAGCAGCTGAGCGTGCCACGTTTTTTGAAACTGTCGCTGAGCTCAGCTCATGTGAGGGAGCCAGAACCCCATCATGGCATGATGGAAATGTTCGCTGCATGCCAGGGATTGTCGGAGTCACAGAGATCGTGACTTTAGCAATAAAGCACAACACAATGACACCAGAGTTATAATCACACTACAGCCCACCTCGCTTAACATAGTTCTATTACAGTCTGAGGTGTGGCTTTCCCGTTGGTTATTGAAAAGCGATGTCTCTGACATTGTGAATGCAGAGCTCTTCCAAGCTACACCAAAAGCCCCAAGAAAGACTTCCCGAAAGCCTACACCCACCTACACCCTAAACCCTGATCCCTAGCTCCCTTCATTGCCTGAGCCCCGCGCCATCGTCGGTTTTTGTGGGCTATCGTCGTTTTTTTTTCTGTTTTGCCCGAAGCGTGGGAGTTCTGACAGATGCGTGCATGGCCGGTCACAGTGTGGTGAATGTGTGTGTGTTTACATGTCGTTTTGGCAGGCAGTCGTCTTGCATTATGCTACGGTTGTTGTTCAAAAAAGGCCTTCTTCTAATTCGACTACCCGGAACGACGCGCCATGTCTCGGTATGACCTTCCGCATCTCAAGCCGTGTCATTGGAAGGTAGGGCCTACCAAATCCTGATCGGAAGACCAGGAAGCTTTGCAAGTAGGCTATGCCTGAGTGTTATAGACAGGATAAGCCCAACCGGAGCATTTGTAACTCCACGTGGCCCAACTGCCAGCATATCTCATTAGTAGAGTAGGTAACCTTTAACCTTTTTGGAGTAGCATAATCCCGATATCTTCCCACAGGTTGACCTTTAGTAGTCTCCCTTAGGATACTGGACAATAGAGATTCAGGCTGATGACCTCAGAGAGATATAGGGTTTAGGGTTCAGGGTTTAGGGTTTGGCTGAAGGGATTCAGGGCTTAGTGCATTGCAGTCCCTGATCAAAAAAAAAAGGGCTTAGGGTTTAGGCTGATGACCTCAGAGAGATATAGGGCTTAGGGGTTTAGGCTGATCAAGTCCGGCTTAGGGTTTAGGGCTTAGGGTTGAGGTTGATGACCTTAGAGAGTTTTGGGCTTTAGGGTTGAGGGTTTAGGCTGATGACCTCCTCTGTCTGCAGGAGAAGCAGAGGCCCCGGCCGGCGCAGGGACCCTGCGCTTTGGTCTTGCTGACGGCCGGCGAGGTGGGATCAAGGGGTTTTGGTTTGGAGGCTGTGTAGTATGCGATCACATACGTCGTATACATCGTCGATTTTAACATACTCGAGAATATTATCATAGTATGATGCACTATCGTATACTTTTATATGCAAAAATCCTCAAAACAACTGCGGCTTTCGGGCTTGGAGCGAAAAGAGTTTGCTTTGAAGCAACTAAGCAATGAAAGTTAAAGGCCCTTAAACCCAAACCCTCGAGACTGAAGCCTCGCTGGTGAGCGTAGACCTCAGCCATGCGAGAGGGGAAAGTCAACCCTAAACTAGGCCCTAAACCTTCAATACTGCCCCCACTCAGTAATAGTTGGGTAACAGTTCATAACATGGATATAATTGGGCCTTAATAGTAGCCCTAATATAGACTGTTTTTTGTATGGGGGGCAGTACCCAACCTAAACCCTGTGGGCTGAATCCAAGAACCTTATAGGAACTCCCATGTTTGACGCTGACAGTACCCTTGTAGAACCATTCAAACGGCAGCTGGGCTCTTTCAATAGCAGGCTTGACCAGCGGAGCTACTTCTGAATTTCAGCTAATCTGCCTTCTTGTTTAATTTCAGGGTTCAGGGTTCTAGGTAGCCCTTAAGACGGCTTAAATCCTGAATGTAGGCATGTCCTAGCTAGGCGGGAGGCAAAAGCCCATGATCCCACAAGCCCTGAATCCCTGAAGCACCCCCTTCCCTGCGGGTCCCTCTGACATTGTGGTATAAGATATTCCCGATTCTTACGAGAGCACCTCCATCGGGGTGACAAGGGCTCCGCGGCTCGGAGCTTGCATGGCCGCGGCAAACCCCACAAAGTTTGGAAACGGAGCTAGGACAATTAGTGTTGGTATTCCCCTGCAATTTGTTTACAGGGACATGAACAAAACTTACTAGACTTACCGTTTCCACAACTCCAGAAACCCTCAGCCGTTAAATTTCAAAGTCTCCAGACTATTGGTTTCAGAATCCCCAATGCCCTGACAGACATGCCGCGGCGTCATCATCAATGCAAACCACGCGCTCTGCGACGGGCGCGCGATGTTCCACTATCTGCAGGCCTTCCTGACCAGGCTCTCTGCAGATGATCTGCAGGTGGGGTGCATGGTTTAAGGTTCAGGGTTTAAGGCTAGGGTTTATGCTGTAGGGGTGGGGATTGTGCACGGTATCTTTAATCCCACTCTCTTTCACAGACAGGGACCCGTAATTCTCGGAGCTCCGGGGCCCTTTTGCAGAAAGCCGAATGCATTGACTACCACACAGTATACTCGTAGTATGAAAGCAGACGCCTCAAAGGAAGGACACCTCAGAGCCCTCTACATTCGTCTTGACAGGCCCCAAACCCTAAACTCTGAAGGAAGCAGCAGCATCCGAACCAGCCGAGACCCCCCTACACTCACACTCCGAAAGCATAGTTCCTAAATAAAAACCGGCATGTCCCCTGTTTGAGCCGAGTCGTGGAAGAGGGTAAATCAGGGTTGGGGGTTTCGTTTTTTCTTGAACTTCTTGAGGGTGTTGTTTCAGGGCCGTCTAGCATGTGTGGGGCGCTACCAACAGTGGATGTCGCAGTGCCGAGCACGACGTGCCTACTTCCCAGCTGATGTTATGCACCAAGATTCTGGCTTCAAAAGAGTTTGGTGTAAAGGGTGAGATCAGCGGGCTTCATATAGGCCGGTATGCGGTGTTCTCGGATTGATTGAAGCCTTACGATCAGATCTTCTGACCCTGCAAGTGATGACGTACCCTTGCTTACACAGCACACTCTGACTAAGAAATCCTGGCCCTAACATACATACATACATACATACATACATACATACATACATACATACATACATATATATATATATATATTTGTGGTACTCATCCAAAGAACCCTAATAAAGACCCCGGGTTTCTTAATCAGGTTCCTACATTAGCTCCAACACAGAAGGAGCCTCAGTATCCAGCTTGCTATCTTGCGGGGACTTCTGACAGCATGTACATAAATAATTGGTTGAGAGTATTCCAAGTTGCAAGAAGATATTCTGTGAGCTTGCGCTTCTGGTGCTTTCTCTAACACCTTCAGAATCATGGGTTTCACTGATCCCCACTTTTCATCTCCTTTTCGCTGAATCCAGCCTAACACGCTATCTACAGCCAGTGCCCGGGGGCTAAACCCAAGATATCCTAAGCCTTGTGCGAGTTGCGGGAGTTCAAACCCTAAACCCTAAACCCTAAACCCAAAAACCCTAAGCCCCAAACCCCAAACCCCAAAGCAAGGTCACGCCGAGAACGCCAGATCTTCCTGCCGACTGGGGGCAGTGCATTTCGGACGACGCAGCGTCTCCGGATTTCTTGCCCCTGCCAGGGAGCCCTCTACAGATCAAGGCGTGTTATGTTTAGCGTCGAGGGTTTAGGGTTTAGGGTTGAGGGTTTCGTGTTTAGGGTCTAGGGTCTTGTCAATCCTGAAAGGCCAAAATAAACCGCTCGAAACCCCCTGATTCCGTACAGTTTAGGGTTTCGGGTACCCCCCAAAGGACCTTCGCCGAGAAGGCAGTGGTGAGCCAGTTTTCCGCCGCATCCTGGAGGCATCCACTTTCACCAAGGCACCTCGACGGCAGACTCCCTTTCGAAAGGTGTTGTGGAAGTCGTCAAGGCAGCAAGTTTTATCAGGTTCTAGCTGCGATGGTTACTATGAGAGGGTTTGACCTGGAGATGGGGCATTCTCAGCCCTGAACCATCCTACGCCCCACACCCTGTACTCTAAACGCAAGGGCCAGTTTCGGCCTCACTGCTGCAGGGCTTTCTCAAATCCCGAGGCCCTCCATCTACCCTCTATTAGAGCCCAAGTACCCATTATGTCGGTATACCCCCTAAGCCCTAAACCCTAAACCGTACAAGGAGGGCTTTCACTTAGAGTTCAGGGTTTAGGGTTTAGGAGGGGTTGAGCTTTAGGGCTTAAGGGCTTGGGGATTAGGGTTTAGGGTACAGCAGTCTTGAGACTCATCTGGGCTTCTGAGTAGTTACGACGGCCTAGTTAGGGTTGTTTGGGGGACGCTTTTGGGGTTCTTCAGGACAAGAGGCGGTAGAGAGAGTTCGGAGGTCGGAGTAGCACCCCCTAACAGATCCTTTATATGGGTAGTTGGGTCCTTTTTGTAAGGGTGCTGTACTATATTGGGGGCCTAAAACGGACCCTTATTTAGAGAACTACCCATGTAAGTATACTACAATTACCCCAAAACACCAATCCAGGTATTGAGGCCTTTCTATTTGCCCCTAAACTTTCATCGTATTTTGTTTAGCATATTTCCGTCTAAGAAGGCCAAATAGGGGCACATGTTTTTCAATGTTTTCAAAAACGAGCAGGGTTTGTATACCACTCCTCGTGCAACGCCCATACCCCCACGGGAGAGCACTGCGAGGCACCCCGCCGTGGCACAGCATGGTATGTGAGTGGAGTATGGTAGAGCAGAGTACGGTAAAGGTGCAGTTTCGCATAGCCTATATAGCATAGCGTCCCCAGCGTCCGACCATAGCAGCTGATGTTTGGTAGTCGACTCGATGACAAGCCATTGAGAGGTTGCTGGGGTGTGGTTTTCCCTGAGCCTTGCACCCTGGTCTTGAAAAGCTCACCGGACATCTAGACGTGCAGTTCCAACAACCGTTCCAGTCACTCGCCACATTAAGGTGCTTGCCGTGGGGAAGGAAAGCTCGGCTTCCGCTACGGGGCTGCTGGTGGCGATGCTGCAAGACGCCATCGGCTCGATGTACCTGGAGCCGGTTTAGGGATGTTTAGGGTCTTTATGGCGACGTAGGGTTGGGGAAGTAGGGTTTAGGATTGAATTAGGTTTAGGGTTTGGGGGTCCATGGGCGCCTCAACTTTCTAAGATCCTCTTTCGCTTCTTTGGTGGGTCGGGTGTCTCGGTCAGCTTGAGCCTTTGGGCTTCGAGCCAACGGGCTGGGGGTTCGTAGGGGCCGCCCGGGAGCATGTGGGAGTTTCCGAAAATAGGGGTACCTTACTTTGGGGTTCTTACAATAAGGATCCTACTATTTAGGGTACTATATTGGGGTCCCCTATTTTCGGAAACCCCCATGTGACCAAGTGTTAGGCAAAGCTGGGGTTGTGGTCATAGTCAATGGCATGTTGCGGGTAGTGAGCTTATGATGCCACCACACTCAGTCTTCAACTCAATGCTGCCAGTGTATGGTACAGTGTCCAGTGTGGCAAGCTGGTCATGGCATGGTCGCTGCCATCAGTGTGCGGTTATGTGTTTAGTGTCGCGATCACGTGTGTGAACGTGTCTGTGTGAACGTGTCTGTGTGTGCGTGCGTGTGTGTGTGTGTGTGTGTGCGTGTGTGTGTGTGTGAATGTGTGTGTGTGTGTGTCTGCGCGTTGTTTTATTTGTTTTTACTGTTGTTGCGCTGCATTTGCCTTGCATCATGCCTGTCGTGATTGCTGACCCTTCCCGGTCCTTCTGCACCAGTCCCCTCCCTCCCCAAAAGTTGGAGCCTCTTGCGTGCTACCATCCTTCTAAGCGTCGTGAATCCCTGGGGTTCTCCACGGTTGGTTGTAATATAGGGGCCTAAAAGTTTACCAACACTATTTTAGGGTTCCTTATTACAAGTGTAGTATAACTTATAAATGGCGCCAAAGCTCTATTCTCATTATTAAGGCCCCTACATCAGTCGCTGCTGGTGACGCTGGTGGTTTGGATGTTGGTGCTACTACGCCCATTGCTATGAACATTGGTGAAGCACACGTCGCCACTGATACTTGTCAAGCGGGTGCTGTTCGCTTCTGCTTGTTGTTGTCGGGGCTGGCTTGCGCTTCTTCGTTTCTGCGGTTTGTTAGTGTCACACGGTTGGTCTTTTAGGGTGAGATCTCGAGGACCTGCATGCTTCCCAGTGAACACAGGCCTGGAGCGCTAAACCTAAAGCCGGAAAGCGCAAAAGCCCGAGCCCACAACTTAAACACCTTGGGCCCAAGCCAACAAGTCCTAAACTCAAGCTCTTAATGACCCTGAACCCGAAGCCCTGCAAGCCGCTTGTTACGTTACAAGCATCTATCATGAACACTTTTGAAGCCTCTAAAGGACTTATACACTTAAAGGATCATGGGACTTAGTAACCAGGGTTATACAGAAGGTAGCGAGACGCATACGTACTTATAACCCCAATTAAAGGTCTCATAACCTTACTTACGAACGTTGGAACCTGATTAAGAAGCCCTGGTCCTGTCATCCCAAAATAGCAGGATCCACATAGAAGAACCCTAGTAAAGACGAGAGGTTTCTTAATCAGGTTCCCACATGAAGTCCCATGATCCCCCAAGTAGGGAACCCTGGTAGGAACTTTCGACCCCCAACAGTCTTCCGAAAAGAGCCCATGTTACATTCCACCCTAAACCCTAAGCCCTGAAGCCCTAAAGCCCTAAAACCCTAAAGCCCTAAAACCCCTAAACCCTGCCAAAGGAGCAAGTCGCCGCGGACGACTCTTGCGTGGTGGCCGTCGAGGTCCTCGTAGATTTGCGGCCCATGCTGGAGAAGGAGGTCCGCACCTTACATATTTTACATTAATTGTTGGTCCATATGGAGGACATATTTTTATCTATCTTTCTTGGTATTACTTCAATAACCTTTGAATGTAGGGTTCGGGGTTCTTTTTAGGGGTTTTGTAAGGGTTTTTTGCAAGGGAGAGTTCTATCAGGGTTCTGTGAGGGTTTTTTTTGGTAAGGGTTTAGGAGTTTAGAGTTCTATAAAGCTTTTGTGAGGCTTTTTGTAAGGGTTTAGGGTTTAGGGTTTAGGGACAGAAGCGTTTCATTTTTTGCCCGATGTGTCTATACCCAGACCTCTGAGTCGGGAAAAGCGGGGTCAGCAAACACAAACCCCGAACCCCAACGAATTAGCACGCCGTAGAATCGGAAGACAAGGAGGATGGTTCAGTTTCAGAGAACATGGGATCCCTGTCGCAAGATCCCTGACTGGAAAGATCGTAAATAGTCCCCCCTAAGCTAGCGAAGGCCTGTAAAGCCCTCACCGACCTAGCGTGGGCACGGCNNCCCCCCCCCCCCCCCCCCACACCATGGTATGCCCCACCTCCCCCCATGCAGTATACGATAGTATTTCTTAGAGTGGTTCAGAGTTTCAGGGTCCAGCGTCTCAGGGTAGGGATCTTCTGGAGACCCTAAGCTTACCAGAAGCGTTTCACCGCCAGAAGCCCGGTCCCGTTCAGGGTTCCTAAAATGGATCTAGGCTCTCTAAAGAGCTTCTATAAGGCTTTAGGGTTTAGGGTACCATAAGGGCCCGAAGCAACTGAGTGGGAGGTGGGATATCCCTTGCAGCTTTGGTCCTCGCACGCACCCGACTAAAAATCCTATAAAACCCTAAAGACCCTGAGCCCTACACTTGGGACGCCTCTTCGCGGAAGTGTTCATCGTAACCATGGATGGGCTGAATTTAGGGGTCTGCATAATGAGTAAGAATAGACGCTTGTACTGTCGTACATTGTAGTTCTACTGTCCGCCCCAATTGCCTTGTTCCAATTATTGAGGCCCGTCTTGTGCGAAGATGAAACGGTCAGTGCGTAAAGCCGTGAGCCAGCAAGACCCACTGAGAGCATAACCAGAGTTTAGGGTTTAGGGTTTAGCAAGACCCACTGCGAACACAATCAAGGCCCCTGGCATATAACCCGAAAAGCTAAATAGGACCCGAATCCTCATGGAGGGGGCTGAGTTGCTTGTGACTACTATCCCCTAGGTTGATATACTTTCGCCCGACACTCTACTCTAATGATGAAGGCCCCCTATGTTGTCATAGAAATTGTTGAAAGGCCAAAAAAACGTCATTTATGTAAGCCCGAAGTAAACCGGCTTCATCAAACCCGAACGACTGCCATGAAAACCGTAACCCCAAAACCCAAAACCCTGAGCCTAAACCCTAAGAAATAAGCCAGGCGACCGTGGTCCAGGCCATTGCCACTGTGACGACTGCCGCGGAGGTCGCGGCTGGTGTTGAGGGGCCCCTAAACCCTAGACCCCTAAACTCCTAAACCCCTAAACCCTAAACCCCCAAACCCCAAACCCGCCCAGGGTGAGTGCTGAAACCTGTTTAGGGTTTGGGGTTTCTCTGATTGGCAGAGTCTGGGTTCAAAAGAGGTTTTGGGATAATGGAGAACTGCGACAGAACAGGTGTCTCGGGGTTAGGAGTTTGAGATTCTGGGGCTTTAGGGGTTAAAGGTTTCGGAGCAGGATGTGGTTAGGGTTATAGAACCGCACCTGCGATGATCCTAAACCCTTCACCCTGGCCCCTGATGATTCACATGGGGCCGGGGGGGCGCATGACAACCTAGAAGGGATCATGTTTTTTTCTTTTAAAGGTCGGGATCTAACTGAGGAATTCATGACATAGTTAGGTGCTTCGACAATGAGGACAGTTTTCCGGTGATAGGGACACGATCGTGTTGCTGTTTTCATGCCTTCGAAACCCCAGCCTCGCACCCGAGGCCCCAAGCCCTAAGGCCTAAACCCCCCAGAACCCCAAACCCAAAACCTCCGAGAGTTCTTAAACCCTATAGCCCTAAACCCTAAGACGCTTCTGCTGATTGGAAATTTAGGTGCTCAAACAAAAAAACCTAAACCCTAAACCCTAAAACCCCCAAGCCCGGACTAAGCCCTATAAAACCTCACACCCTCAGCGGCTGGGACCCCCCTGTGAGGTGCGGAGAGGCGCTGGTAGGCAAGACCTGCTTCTGGGCTCTTGAAGAAGGAAATTCATGGCAAGTTGCCATGACAGGGATCAGAAAAGCATCACAGGGTTTCCTTCCTATTCGTGTAATCCCAAAACCCACATAAAAAACAGAAGCAGCTCACAAAAATCCTAAACCCTAAACCCCTAAACCCAAAGCCCTAAACCCTAAACCCCTAAGCCCGAAGCCCTAAACCCTAAACCCTGAACCCTAAACCCCTTTGGGGAAAAAACCGCTAAGCTCCCCAAGAAGAGCCCAGGCTGTCACTGGCCAAGGCCGCCAGCGAGGACGGGCCTGAAACCCTGAAGCCCTCGAGGGCTTCCCGTACGGTGTGGGGTTTAGGGTTTAGGGTTTAGGGTTTAGGTTTAGGGTTTAGGGTTTAGGCTTTAGGGTTTAGGGTTTAGGCATGAGGATTCGGGTTTAAGGTCTGAGTCTGGGGCTCAGTAGAATCAGGTGATACCGGAAGAAAGAACGCCAGGCCAAATGAAAGGCCCATAGGCGAACGTCCCGACTCTGACCTCCGAACCCCAATTCCCCAAATCTTGCACGCAAACCCTTTCTCTGTATATGTGTATGTGTATAGAGAGAGAGAGAGAGAGAGAGAGAGAGAGAGAGAAAGGGCGAGAGAAGGAGGATCAGATTTTTGTCCTTATCTACCTCAAAGTTCTGTCTAGGTATTCAGGCCTCATTGCTAAACACTGAAGCTCATGACCTTCATAAGATAGAGCACTTGCCGCGGAGGACATCCGGAGACGCGTAGCGCGGGGCGAAGCCCACCGGCAGGTGACTCTCCGAAGATGTGTTTGCTGTGTGTTGCCTTGCAGTCTAAACCCTAAACCCTAAACCCTAAAACCTAAACCCTAAGCCTTAAACCCTCTTTGGGGGACTAGGGGTTCGGCGTGACGGTTTTAGTGCTCGGAGGGATGGGTTTGGGGTTTACTTTGGGGTTTAGTTCGTTGCTTGTGCTATTGCGGAGTTTTGACGCAGTTCCTTCAGGGTATGGGAAGGTTTCGGTTTCGGGTTCGTTGTGTTCTGGCTCTAAGAAGCTCTGCTGTGAACACATTGTGGTTTAGAGTTCAGGGCTTAAAGGGTTCGAAGAGACATGCTTGCCCCCGCAAAGGCGCGGCTGGCGACGTCCGGGAAGTTTGACCAATGCCCTCCTCCTGGCACCGTGGAGCTCAGCAACCTCGGGACCCGCTGGGTTCGGGAGGGCGTCTTGGGAGATTTAGGGTGGGGAAGTGTGGGTTTAGGCTGGCGGTGTTGGGGTTGGGGCCCTTGGGGCCTTTGGGGTTTGGGGGATTAATTTAGGGTGTATAGGGTCTTGGGACTGATGTGTTTCGAGCAGTTTGGGCTCAGGGATTGATATGCGACTTCGACATTGCAAGGGTGTTGGCCTTTCAGAACCGTTTCACAACCCGCACAGAACCCCGTAAAGCCTCCACGGTCACCCTAAATGTCAAGCTCGATTCCCTCAAGCCCTACGCCCCGGTAGCACCCACCAGCTTTAAGAAGCACCGCACCCTAAACCCTGAACTCTAAACCCCAAACCCTGAACCCTGAACCCTAAACCCTAAGCCCTGAACCCTAAACCCTGAGCCCGAAAGCAGTCAGAAAGAGGATGTTTCCGGTGACGGGCCACGAGTTGCTGCTGGATCAGCGCTTCGATGGCTATGAGGGTCTGCGGCTGGGCGGAGTTTTTGCGGACGGCATCGTGCGGCTTTAGGGGTTTAGGGTTTAGGGTGTAAGGTTTTGTTTTGCAATGCTTTTTCTTTTTTTCTGGCAAGTTGCCTGAGTTTTGTGGGCATAGTCTGTGGGAATCTCAGAAAAGCAAGGGACCTACTGCAAGCCCTGCTGTAGCTATCGTAGGATACGACTTCTACCGACCCCCCAAGAAGCCCTTCGCCCCACGGACTGGAGATATTTTGTCATCGGCCCCCTTAATTAGGGCTTTGCAGTTTGCTGTGCAAGGTGGGGATTTAGATTTCTTATTGTCTCGTGCAACCCAGGAGTATTTTGGCCCACACGGAGGGTACTGGGGGGCCGTTGCGTCTCCTTGCGTCGGTGCCTTCGGCATGACTTTTCGTTTGGGGCTGGGGGATGCTTCAGGGGCTTTGGCTTTGACGTTTGGCCGTTTGGGTATTAGTAGGGTTTGGGGGGTGTATTGAAAGACCCTACACTTGCTTGCAAAACGGCGTATCCCGATGAAGACAGACTTGTATAGTTTTGTGAAGAAGTCCAGGTTTAACCCGACCTTCCCATCCCAGCCTTTCCTCAACTGCGGTTTGCGGAAGAAGCGAATTAAAAGGCCAACCCCTAAAGCAGAGTTAAGATCCGTGAAGGGATCCTTACTCTCAGCCTCGCCGAAGGGACCCGACTATGCGATGCAAAAGGCAAGCCTAGCCACCGAAGTGTCCCATCTTTTGTCTCTGCATCTCTGTCTCTCTCTCTCTCTCTCTCTCTCTCTCTCTCTCTCTCTCCCTCTCTGTTGT